TCTTCCTCAACAGACCTGTGAGTTCTCAGGATTCTCTTTTTTTTATATTCCAACATGTAATCACACGACGCGGTGACGGCACACTCAAATTTTTTGAACTTATATTAATGCCGCCACCAACACAGGGGACAATACAATACTCTATTTCACCTGAACAAAGTAGAGGAAAGTCGTGTTAAGTGCCTTTCCCAAGGGCACAAGATCAGTGGCATGTCAGAACTTGAACCCGGGATTCTCTGTTTCATGCACAGTTTTGTTGATCTTTGACCCTCAGACATGTTTTTAACAGTGAGAAAACCATGCAGAATGTGTGATTTTTTTGTAATCTGGGGTATATAAACTATGTACACTTGTACTTTGTTGGAGTGAAAGTTAAATTGATTTTTTTTGCTTCATTTTTCACTAGGAGATTGATTTCAACCTGACCAATCTGGCTGACGTGTTTGACTTCCCAGGACTCAGGTGAGATTGGTGTGCTCTTATCAATGAATTAATGCTTAACTGAATAAATAAACAAGAGAATGAAGGAATGAGAGAATGGATGGATGGATGAGTGAATGTGTTTGTTTCCTTGTTCCAGTTCCCTGTTGAAAGGAATAGTAGCAGACCAGGTTGCTAACTTCATGGTTCTGAGTGAGTGAGTGAGTGAGTGAGTGAGTGAGTGAGTGAGTGAGTGAGTGAGTGAGTGAGTGAGTGAGTGAGTGAACGAATGATGCATGTATTTTGTTGTCACAGTTCCCTGTTGAAAGGAATAGTAGCAGATCAGGTGGCTAACTTCATGTTCCAAATGAATGACTAAGTGAATGAGAGAGTGAGTGAATGAATGAGAGAGTTAATGAACTCATCTATGTTACAGTTCCCTGTTGAAAGGAATAGTAGCAGACCAGGTTGCTAACTTCATGGTTCTGCCCAACCGATACCCGATGCCGCTCATTCCTGACCTGGAGGTCGCCAAGCTCAAGTACCCCATGCCTGTGGTATGTACAAGTACAGTACTACAAGGGTTAAAGATTACACAAGTACAGTACTACAAGGGTTAAACATTACACAAGTACAGTACTACAAGGGTTAAACATTGCACAAGTACAGTACTACAAGGGTTAAACATTGCACAAGTACAGTACTACAAGGGTTAAACATTGCACAAGTACAGTACTACAAGGGTTAAACATTGCACAAGTACAGTACTACAAGGGTTAAACATTGCACAAGTACAGTACTACAAGGGTTAAACATTGCACAAGTACAGTACTACAAGGGTTAAACATTGCACAAGTACAGTACTACAAGGGTTAAACATTGCACAAGTACAGTACTACAAGGGTTAAACATTGCACAAGTACAGTACTACAAGGGTTAAACATTGGACAAGTACCCCATGCCTGTGGTATGTACAAGTACAGTACTACAAGGGTTAAACATTCTAACACAAGTACCCCATGCCTGTGGTATGTAGAGATTTGTCTTTAATCTTTTGTTTACTGAATACAGGTCTGGCTATTTGAATTGGAAAGTTAAGTTCAAGTGTGCTATGTAGGATAGGTTTAGAGTAATAGTTACTGGATGCTGAATAGACACCAGTGAGACTTTTGGAATATGGTAAATTTACCAAATGTTGTTCGGATCAAAGTATTGCAGGCAGGTTAGAGGTGTGCATCTAGCTCTGTTCTGCTCTTCTCCACCACAAACACTTGTATAGAATAAAATTTTCATCCAAGAGATCGTTAAAGGAGGAGCCCTGTCCTTGGTTGCTGAAGGCATGTGTTATTGTGTGTTGTTCAGTGATTTCTTGAAATACACCAGAACAATTATCAGTTGAATATGACTTTTCGTGTAAAAGAAATGCAGAAGCCCTGTCCTTTGTGCTGAAGACATGTATTGTTCTTTAGGTAGTTTTGCAGATACTCCCTAACACTTATCAACAGAATACTGTAATTCACTTTATGTTCACGGTAGCAAAATTTCACTGTCTGAGAAAAATGGACATGTTCACGTAACTATATGTTCACGGTGGTGACAAGTGCAGGATAAAGAAAAGTCCAGGAATTATTTGTTAACTGTAATGATAAGTTCACTTTACACAAGAGACAGTGAAAACAGTGAACTTATCAGTACAGTGAACAAATCAGGAATTACAGTAAGACCTGAAAGCACAGGTCCTGTCCTTGGTGCTGAAGGCGTGTTTTATTGTGTTCAAGACTTCTGGGGCACACGAGAACACTAATCAGTAGAATAAGATTTTACACCAAAAAGCTTGTGAAAGGACCAGTCCTGTCCTTGGGGCTGAAGGCATGTGTTATTGTGTGTTGTTTAGGGAGTTCTGCAGATACTCCAGAAATTCAGTAGAATAAGATGTTTCATCTAAAAAAAAGCAAAAGCCCTGTCCTTGGTGCCGAAGACTTGTATTGTTGTTCTTTACATAGTTTTGCAGATACTCCCTAACACTTACCAACAGAATAAGACCTGGAAGCACAGGTCCTGTCCTTGGTGCTGAAGGCATGTTTTATTGTGTGTTGTTTAGGGAGTTCTGCAGATACTCCAGAAATTCAGTAGAAAAAGATGTTTCATCTAAAAAGAGGCAAAAGCCCTGTCCTTGGTGCTGAAGACATAACAGACATGGTGTAGCTGTTGTTAGTTATGGGATTTTAGGGACACACATGAAGCTGTGTTGTTTAGCGAGTTCTGCAGATACACCTTCAGCACCAAGGACATGATTTTTTATAACGTTGTTGTTTAACTGTTTAAAAGACGTTCTGCTGATCCACCCAAACCAGTGTTGTTGTTGTCATTTTTGTTTAGGGAGTTTTGCAGATCCACCTGAACCAGTGTTGTTGTTAGTTGTTGTTATTTAGGGAGTTCTGCGTATCCACCTGAAGTTGTTGTTATTGTTGTTGTTATTTAGGGAGTTCTGCGTATCCACCTGAAGTTGTTGTTATTGTTGTTGTTATTTAGGGAGTTCT